GAGTGAATCCAATCTTTACTTTTCTCAAATTCGGGAATTTTTCGCTGGAAAAACCTGAAAAAACCGGGGAAAACATGAGGCAAATTTACTCATCACTGAGTAAAGCTCAAATTTGGGTCGATCTCATTCGCCGTGATATCACCTTGAAAGATATCGGCGCCAGTGGTTAGCGTGATTACCTCTCACCCCAGCAGGCCTGGGTCCAATCTCAGTCGGCGCCACCGGCATGTTCTAAGGCATAACATCTCTGATCACGCCTTCCTTCGGGAAGTAAAGCCGTTGGTCCCCGGTTGAGTTGATGGGTCGATTGGTAGGGTCCAGGTGTGGGAGCTGCCTCCCTGGCGTCGGCAGCATTGGAGCTCAGTACGAAAAACAAATTTCGCGTCACTTTTCAATAGGTCCTATCTACATTGATCGATTCTCTTCATCGACACTCTCTTTCGTAAATAACTCAGCTTCACAAATGTTTCCTGTCAAGACGGCCGAACTAGATGCTAGATTGTTGCTTCTTCCATCGAAAATATCCGGCCGTGGCGATTCAAAGTTGATCAAGGTTGATCAAAATAATTTGTACCCCTGCTTCCAGTTTAATTACATGAGCATTTTGTGTGATTGGTGGCCCTGAACAGAGCCGTTTTGTTGCCAAATTGGTGATAATTTAACCTCCGAAACCAAACAGAGTGCGTCTCTGTCATTTCAAAACGTAGATGACATCCAGGGCCGCTTACGCTTGGCGTGTTTAGTGTAGGTGACAGCATCACGGATCTCATTTTTCAGGAACACCTTCAGTACACCTCGTAAATCAGACCGGAGATACGTCAGACACCGCCACGGCGAGCCAGACGGCGTTTGGTGTTGACTATGGCGATGAGTGTGCAAAATATTACGCAATTCCATCCTCCCTATTCGCACGCGCCCGAGGATCGGAGGCGAATGCCACTTCGACTTGTTTCGTCTACTTACTACTCTCTGACGACTGTGCTGGGGAAGCAGCATATGCATGTAGGTAATTGGTGGATTTGTTAGTTATTTCAACGCTTCTGGACAATGCTTTACATTTACCACTGTTTCAATAGTTTGTTGTTGAAAATAAATAGTCGGAAGCATTGTTATCGATGCGTAGCCATATTTCTGATCGATTGGTGATAAATCTATTGAAATTGAACCAGGGCAGCTGAGTTATTAACGTTCAAAATCTTTCTTAATTTGTTACATGTTCCATTTTCGGTTTTCACAGACGTAGTCCTACGTCAAAAATAAATAAAACCGTGAAATACCCGTCTACACAGCCGATAAAAGTAACTCAATACCTGATTCGGATTCAACTCACAATTGCATTACATTGGGCACACCCGTTGAATAAATTCAAAGTGAGAGCAATGCAATTTTAGCTATTCAACGGGGTTTTACGGTATTCAAGAAGTATTTCCGAGAAAATCGAGGAAAAATAAAGCAACCCCTTTTTTGGAAATTTTGAGACGAATTCGACTCAATTTTGACGTAATATCATTGAACATGTACTAGTGTGCTCATAGACTTAAAAGACGTGATTTTTTTTCATTTTTTTCCAAGCTGGCTTTTGAGGAAAATTTTACTCACTTTCTAGTATTTTGAAGGAAATCCTACTCAATTTTGAGTTAGTCTCATCGACAACCGTCACATCCCCAGACGATCTGAAGCAAAACGTACAGGTAAGCTCTTTTATAACCTCGCAAAAGGTCGTCTCTCTGTTCTCTCGATAGGCATAGCAAGCGAGCACGTGAAAAGTTTGATCAATTTTCAATAGTTTGCTAATGATAAATTAATATAATCTATATACCAAACAAATCTTACATCAATTCTGAATCAAAGGGTGTGAAAAGAATATAAATCCATCAATAAATAACCAAGTTATAAGCGTTTAAAACCTAACACTATTTCATTGCACAATTTTTTTATTTGTAAATTTTTCTTACACATCCGTAAAACTCTATTGTTTTACACGTTACTATATAGTCATTTTAGATGTTTTGTCAAATTTAAGCAAATTTTGGAAATCTCCAATTAGAAAATGTCGATATGGGGTGAAATTGATCAACTCAAGATCAACAATTGAAAAGGCCCTGAACTCCATTTTGTAAACAAACCTTGTAAGGCCATTTTGTTGCGAACAGGTAGGGGAAATTCTCCTCTACCCGATTGTGTATTAGGTTTGCGAATGTAGGTTTTGGTTCACGAGAAAATTGCCTTACAAGGTTTGTTTACAAAATGGAGTTGAGGCCTTTTCAATTGTTGGTCTTGAACTCTTCAAATAGCTTCCCAGTGCATTCATAGTGGATGTGCTTTATGAATTTGGATTCCCTGAATCCGAATCAGAGGTTAGAATCCTTATTTATCTAGTTCGTTTATTTGGAAGGCGCCATCGCTTTAGCTTTACGGAGCCGATAATTCATTAACGAAATTCACTTATTTCTATGTCTAGTAAGAGTTGGGCCGAATACTCGCAGCTTACCCGAGGTTATAGGGGTACATTGTCGAAGGATATAATCAGGGGAGGAGATTGGGGATCGGGTTCCGTTGTCTCATCAGTATGTCATCGTTGTCGCCAGTATGAACGGCACACGCTTAGAAAAAATCATGTAAATTTAGGTGCTCTGAGAGTGACATATACGAGCGTCAATTTTGACATAAAGTTGAGTCATAACAGACACGAAATATAGCTCAATCAAACGTACTTTTCGTCGAGCAACGAACTTTTTAGTCTCGGAGCACTTAATATTACATGACATGTTTGTTTACGTCTCATCTTTTATGCCAAAGATGGATTCCGTCACATGTAAAATTAGTTATTTCTAAGTGTGTAGTGCGGTTCCAGATTCGTCTGCAGTTCGACCGGCTATGCTGACCAGTGTCCGACGATAAGACTCATCGAGACGTCGTTAGAATCCTTGTGCAAAGTGTATTTCTAGCACAAATACCAAAAGAGAATTCTTAAAATTAACAGTTGCGCCTAAATGCAGGCAATTCGTTAATAAATCGTTAGAAATTGGACGAAATTACTCTTTATCTCTACTAATTTATCTGATTCAAATTCAGGGACATTCAGTGTAGCCAAAAAAACCACTGATGGCAACAGTTGAAGCTCTCGAATGGTGATGTTGTAAGCTACTGAGCGCCAGTAAAATCAAATTTAAATGTATACACAAAAATATGCATTTTGGATCATTAGAGTCCATTGATGAAATACTAGGGTGGCTCTAATGTTGGCCTGTGGATCTAAGATTGGGCCCATCGCAAAAAATCTGCTATTTTTCAATTTTATCTAGCTGAACGCGATTCTAATGGATATTTTTGGTCGCTATTGAAAATTTAGTCGATTGCTGCATTTATGTATGGGCCCAAATAAGTTCTATAAGGAAAAGCTAGAAAAGCAATGCATTTGGATCAATTTCACCTCCGTGATCAATTTGCAAAGTTCTGTAACATCTCATAAATAGAAAAATGTCCATAGTATTCGACTGAATCGGTAAGTTTTGTGATTTCCAGATTAAGGCTAACAGCAGTGATGGCATATTCTTTAGCAAATGGATATTTTTCCGCTCTCATGCGCTTTCACGCTTGATATTGATTTTACAGGCTCCTTTGCTATTGCGAGACTATTCACAACGTGTAAAGCTGAAGCTAAGAGTCTAACGATTCCGTTGCCCCTCGTTTTCTTAGAAAGAGAAGTTATAATGATGCTATCTCTTTTTTCTCTTCACTTCACTAGGCAAGTCATTTGATCAACTCAGTTGAATTCAATTGGCTTGAAAAGTTGAGCCTGGTTCAACTTTTTTTCAATTCAAGTGAGTTGAATTCAACTGACTTGATCAATTGACTTGCCCTGTCTAAACCCAGCTTTTTGGAAGTTTTCGGTTGCGGTCGGGTGAAAAGCAAAAATCATGAAACTCAATCCCACCACCCACCTTGGTGAGATTTGCAGCTGGTGAGTTTTGTTAGCTTGATATTCCGAGCTGCGATATCACAGCTTGCAATGTCAACAGCAGTTGTTTGCGCGTGATCATGTTATTTGATGAGATATGATTTTTTGATATTTTCCCAACACTGGTCAACAGTCTTATGAAATACCAAAACGAACATAGATTCGGCCGCTTCGAAGCTATCGCTTCAGGACGGCAACGTCAAACCGAGAGAGTTGAAATCCAAGACTGCTGAGCCATCATCCGAGAAACACAAATACATAATTCTGGGACTAGGCAAAACATTTTAAATTCTAATCTTGGAATGAAAAATCTGCAGAATTTTCAAGGTTCAGAGGCCTGAAAAAAAATACGATCTCGGATTAATACATTGCAGTTCCACGGCAAAGGACGGATCGGTAAATCTTGACCTTTTCCGATTTGCATAATTGTTTGTGGTGGGCAATGATTCACATTTTTGCTAAAATTCGGCTATTTTGGATCTTGTAAAGTTTTCATCTGGTTCTATGAGATATTATAATAATTTTCATATGTAAGATGCAAGAAGAACAGGAGGTAAGGTTTGTGTATGACTCATAGAATCTGTTAATTTTGCTTTCAGAAGGTAACAATTAGCGATTAGCTATAACAAAGAGTACTTACTCATCGCGATTACTCATTGCAGCTAAAATAGCTAATTGTGACCCTCTGAAAGCAAAATTGACAGATTCTTTGAAGTTCATAGTTTCACAATTTCGAAAAGTAGCATTTTAGCCCCCATAACATAATGAGGTTTTATCGGATATTCCAAATTCTATTCAGTTCTTAAGCTTTCTTCTTATTGAAAGTTACGATTCTCAGTTAATCTCAAAGTCGCAAATCTCATTCAATTTAAAATTCAAATTTGAGTGTACCTGGAAAAGCCGTACCCCTCAGTTAAACCGCAGCTGTCAAACTTCTCCGAACACCCTCAAAAGTGCGACCGACTTTCGACGACCTTGTCTTCGCACACTTTGGGCAAACCACCACCACCCAAGTCCTAGTCCTTGAATGTCAATTTACCTGTTTGATTGTTTGTTGTTGCTTGCTGGTTGCTATTCCTCGGTGCACCGTTTTCTCGTTGTTTGGCGTTCGAATTCGGTGGAAGAACCAGTTCCGATCGTTACCAGTTTCAAAAGACCGCAGCCCAATATAGCAGTAACGGTAAATGTAATCCAATTGTTGTCGTGCGCTGTCAAAAACTGTTCACTTGTTCTTCGATGACTTCCAACTGTACTGAGCGGTTGAACGCTTCGTTTTCTCTCGAATTTGTTTCACACTTGTTTCCTGAGATTTAATTAAGCTCCCAAACAAAATTCACCATAAATCATCTCACTCGATCATATACTTTTTTTTTCAGCAACTCGCTTGCCTGATCGCTTGGCCGTACAGACCCGAGCGAGGGGGGTACCGAAATGGCCAATCAATTCACCTTTTAATAGCACTCGTTTCGCGCATCTCTGGCGTAACTCTTGGCTGACGTAAAAAAATAAATAAAACCAAAATTTCACTCTCGTTAGCGAAGGGGGCAATTTTTCCGAAAACCTTTCTTCTGCTCAAAGCGGCCCGAAAAATATGAACATATGCACACTCGATTATTCAACTGATTGGCTCTCCGCTCCGGTAATGGGCCCTTTTCCGGCACTATTTTTCTTTTCTACTCGCAATTTAACTCCCGGCACATGTCGATCATTGCATATTTTTGCCTGCAGTTGGCGCTGATCGAAGCACTCCAATCGAAGTACACTGTTAAACAAATGGACCTTTAGTTGGAGGCTGTTGTCAGAAAAAGAAAAGCACAGCCTTCCTTCCTATCGCGCTGCGTTGCCCTTTTTGGCACACAAAGCCGACCAAAACATCCGAGTTATTGATTATTTTCTTCTGACAGGGCGAATAAAAAAAAAATACACATAATCCTCCGCACCGTTTGCCAGTGTTTGTGTGTCTGCCGTGTTTTCGACCAGACCAGACACGAAATTTTCCTTCACACTTTCCCGATCCCGGGATAAACAGAATCTAATTCCAATCAAACTTCCACTTGCCGTTCGCTGGCAGTAATTTGCTTCCTCTCCAAATTCGACGTACCTACATCGAAAATCCACTTTGTTGTAATTGAATTTCTTTTTCCTTCATCTCACACTCCGCTCAGAACGGACGAAGGAATCCTTTATTCACGAACACTCGCGCTGAAACATCCCGACCGATCAATGTGCACGCATGTGCACCGGTGTGCTGTGCGGCAATGGGGCGCACCACCACAAACACGACCGGGTATGTGCAAAATCTGTCAAAAATCCACCCTACGATATCAGTCACATCACGTCTTGAGTAGTCAACATCGAAGACGGCGACGGCGATGGGCGGCTAGAATCGTGTTCCAGCGGCAGCATCACCCACTCAAAAACAACGAACCGCACAAAATTCGATAGAAACGTCGGCGGCGGTGGCGGCGATGGTGGCGACGATGAGGCAAGGCACAAGGACGCCCTGTTACGCGCACACATACACTCACCAGCAGAGAGACGGTGAAAGAGCACTGTAAAAAAAATAAACACAATATGATTCTGAACTGCAAGTGCTTCGAAAACCGACACGCGCGAAAGTTGCTCCTTGCACACGCGAGTTTACCGAACGGAGTTCTAACTTGGACTGAAGCTCGCGGCTGCAGTGTGTCAGTTCAGTTGATCAGCTTCTTCCGCCAGTAGATGGAAGGAGAAAGAGATAAGTGCAGGCAGGAGTGTGATTGTTGGAATGAGACAACAGGAGCCGGTTGTTGGGGGGAGGGAGAGAGATGGAATTGAACGCTGATATGTGAGAAATGAGAGCGTGAGAGCGGAGAGGTGGTTGTGCTCTGGCCTGGGTTTTTCTCTGCGGGTGGATGCTCAGGTTTTGCACGGAGAGGTGTTGCAGGGATGCCAGAAGGTTTTAGAAAAAATCTTCAAAAAGATTAAAAATATTTCAGTATCACTTGAAGTCCTTTCATAAAAACTCTACGCAGTGGCCCTTCTTAATTAATTAATAACTTTTTGCACAATTTGATGTCAGAGAAACATATGAGCTTCTCTCATCGAAACTCTACAGTTTCACGATTTTGATACATGGGCCTCCCACAGGGCTGATGTTTAAGCCCCCTTTTGTACAACTCTTACGTCAGAAAAATTGTCGGTTGTCTTAGCGACAACTGCACGTTGAGACAGCTTACAGACGATGGCAAAGTGTCTATCACAGGGTCCAAAGGGGTCAACCTGCAAGGACCATTACAGGATACTGTCGTGACCATTTCACAACATTTCACTCAGCCACGAAAAGTCTTTCGGTAAAACACTTCTGGACGTATTCTTCCGTCAATGTCTCTTGAATCTCTCCGCTACGAATAGTCTTCCGGTAGAACACTTCTGGACGACGGATATTGACAGAAGAATACGCCCAGAAGTGTTTTACTGGAAGACTTTTCGTGGCTGAGTGAAATGTTGCGGAAAGGTCATGACAGATACCTTAGACAATTTGTCTTCTAAGGCTATTCAGCTAGGTATCGAATTCCCCACGGAGAAAACTGAGTTGATCGATTTGTCTAGGAAGTATTGCCCAGCACAACCGAAGCTGCAACATTTGGGTAAACCGATCACTCATTCTATGTCCTTAAAATATCTTCGATTCCAAATGCATCTGGAGATCCCACATTGAGTATCTGAAGTGGAAATGCCAACAATGGATCAATTTTCTCCGTACAATTACCGGAACGTGATGGGAAGCTCATTCGCAAGATCTTCTAACGTTATACCGGACAACGATTTTATCGATTTTAGAGTACGGTAGTTTTTGTTTCCAGTCGGTGGCTAAAACACATATCATCGAACTGGAACGAATCCAGTATCGCTGTCTTTGTATCGCGTTAGGATGCATGCACTCGACTCATACGATGATTCTCGAAGTCGGGTATGTTTCCACTCTCATATCGGTTTTCAGAATTGTCCCTCAGACTCCTCACCTGGTGTGAAATTATGAGCCCACTGGTGATTGCTAACTTTGAGAAGCTTCTTGAACTCTCAAGCTCGGTTCATGTCATTGAACTACGAGTACATAACACAGGATGTCAGCCCTTCTCAACATAGTCCCAATCGTGTTTGCTTTTCCGACTTCGGCAATTCTGTTCAACTTGATTTATCTATGAAGCAAAAGATTCGTCGGATCCCAGAGCACCATCGCTCCATGATTGATCCGTCAATTTTCGCTGCAAAGTTTGGCCAAGTTGATTCCACCAGATCGTTCTTCACCGATGGATCACTAATAGAGGCGTCCGCTGGTTTTGGTATTTATAATGAATTTCTTAGCACCTCTCGAATGCCTCAAGCTCCTTGTTCCGAATATGTTGCTGAGCTGGCGGCAATACATTATATGCTAGAAACTATTGCCTCACTTCCAACGGATCACTATTTTATTTTTACGGATAGTCTCAGTTCTGTAGAGGCTTTTCGCTCCATGAGGCCGGTAAAGCACTCCTCGTATTTTCTCATGAAAATACGAGAGCTTCTAAGTGCTTTATCTTTAAGATCTGTTGTCATCATCTTTGCATGGGTCACTTGCTAAGACGGGCGCTACAACGAATTTTTCTTCATTTATCGTCAACAGTCGCTCGCCAGCTGACAAAACGAATGGAGTGAATGAGGGGTTCGTGGATTTTGCTATGTTTCGAGGGGTGCATCGATTAGCTTGAGACCGAAGATAGTACCAGAGCTCAGCCAAAAAGTTGAGCACGTTTCTTCGGGACCTACTAGTTTTAGAGTTACCTCTATGGTTGAAAGGTGTTCGAGTGTGTAAAAAAGTGTTTTGATGTGTTTAACACAAGGTGGCAGAATGGCTTACCCTCTGGGTTAACCTATATTGGGTTCTTGGTCATTGTGGAGTCGAAAGAAATGAAAAAAGCTGATCAATTGTCAAAAATAGCGTCCATGCAATTCATTGGACCCGAACCATTTTTTGGACTATCTTCTTGTGCTCTAAAAATAGAGCTCAAGAACCGAGAAAAAAAAACAAAGATACAGTACAACTGGAAGAATACCTTAAATGACAATCAAAACGTCAAAAGCGCCAAGCGCTTTTCATACACAAAAGTTATTTAAGCTTTCACAACATGATTTGAGTACATACACTGGTTTGATAACGGGACATTGTCTTTGTTAATATCACCCGAAACCATTTAAAACAGTCATTAATTTTAACAGATTCGTAGAAAAAATTCCTATCGATTGGCTTTTAAAAAATTATCCATCATCTCTGGATCAAAATCATACCACTTTCATGCCACAAATGACTTTGGTTTTTGAAATTGCACCCCCAATGCTGCCTTAAAAATGCATGGTATGTTAGAAGAGAAACTGACATCGGATCGATGACCTTGACAAATGTCCAGAAAATACTCTTTAACAAATGTATGGTGGTCCTGAAAAGGCAAACGGTCGTGATGCTATAATGCTCAGCTATTAGGGTGTTCAACACAGATGAGGTTGACGACTCACGGAGAGCTACTGAATCCGATCAGTAGCGGTGCGGCTTCTTTCTCCTTCTTAGTTGAATGGACGCTCATGTGGGCTGCAGCTCGCTGCTTGCGGGCAGCCTTTCGTTGTGTACTGGAGAACAATGTTCAAAGCCACGTGCCGAAAGCACTGCTGCTGCTACTGATGATGACGACCGACCGGACACCACCACATACAGTTATTGAATATGCACCATTCGACGAGACCGGATGAAATTTGATTTTGAAATCTGTGTTAGGGAAAGCACTTTTTGCAGGCAATCGGCGATAATTTTGATAAATAGTTACCTAATGAAAATTGAGAAAAAGTTTATTTTAATAAATTTGTAGAAAAATTTCCAATCGACTGGCTTGTTTAGAATTAAAATCTATCCGCTATTGACAGAGTTATAAGTGGTCAAAACCAGAACACTTTGTGTGTGTAGTCATTTTGGAAATTTAAGAAAAATTCGGAGAACTTCATAGACCTTCTGAAAATGTCGCAGAAACTCAGACAGCTTTGCTAAGATTCGGGAAAACTTCATAGAAGTGGGAACTTCTGTTTGGGGAACTTTGTTGAAGTTTAGGGAACCTTGTTTCATATCAGGAAACTTCACAAAAGTGTTCCAAAACCTTCACTTAATTACAGGGCACTTCGTTAATTATTTTTGTGAGTTTGAGGAATTCCGTAGAAGTTCAGGAAACTTCGCTGAAAATCATCGAAATTCCAAAAAAATAAGTGAACTTTGTAAAAGGAATTTTTTAAAGATCAAGGAACATCCAAAAATCTCGGAAAACTTTGTTGAAGTTCAGGAAATTTCCTGGAAGCTCAGGAAATATCGTAGGAATTCATCAAACTTCTTAGAACTTTAAGGATCTTCGGATCAGCTTAGGGAACTGTTTATTTTTGGGAGCTTCGTTTCACCAATATGTTCTGGAAAATTCCTAGAGAAGCATGAGGTTCTTTCCGGAAGTTAGAAGACAAGACATTTTTTTAGAAGTTAAGGGAACTTTGAAGGTGATCACAGAACATTGTATGAATTATAGGAAATTCGCACAAGTTCAGCAAGCTTGCCAGAAATGAAGTTGTAGCTATCGAAAAATTAAAAGTTGTAAACTATGGAACATCTTTGAACTACTGGGAACTTCGTAGAAGTTGACAAAAAATCTCAGGAATTCGTCGAATATTTCACATATTCAAGGAACTTCATAGCGGCTTTGAGTTCATGGACCTGAGTTTAAGTTCCAGAAACTTCTTCAGTAATCTTCGTAGAAGTTTGATGACTTTGTTGATTTTCACAGATTTTTGATGAGATATCAATAAAGTTCTCTGGATATAATTCGAGACTCAAGTAAATCAAGTAATGTTCTGACAATTCAAATGACGTCTTTCAGATATCTTTCCAAGACGGAAGTTTGATTAGTGAGTATTTAAAGGATGTACAGCTGATGTAAAGCCCTCTGGATATTTTTCAAGGCATCAGGTAGATCAAGAATTAGTTTGAAGATATTTTTCCAAAATGGTACGTTTATCAAGAAGTATTCAAAGGATCTCCAGCTTATCGAATATTTCAGTAAACTCCTGTGAATATTGAAGTGAATCAAGTTTTATTCTGAAATATCCGATTTGGGCTACATTATTAATATCAGACATTTTCAGGAAGGAGCTTAACATATGAAGTCAAATTCTTCATTTTTTATTAAAAACCTTCAAATGCCAGCTTAAAATTTAATAAAATACATCGGAGGTCTGATTCAGATTCAGCATGTATTTAAACAACTTCACAAATCATGAAAAGACTTCAAAATGTATGCGTGAAAAAAAAACCATCACAGAATTTTAAATGTCAGCAAAATGAAGACATATTTTCAAATTTGGTGTCCCTGGCATTGAAGAAATCCTTTTTTATTATTATTCTTTGAAAAAAAAAATGAACATGCATTTCAGAACATCGTTATAAAATAATTAGAAATATACGATTACTAAAATAATCTACAATCTTTGTTCACTTCTCGGGATCCCGGGATTTCCCGGGATAACCAATAAATATTTCCCCAATCAAGATAGTGGGAACCTCTGGGTAATGAAAGCTCTAGACCAGGGTCTCCCAA